CAGCCTTCCAAGTAGCCAGAACTACAGGCACACGCTACCATGCCTGGCTAATTTTTTATTTATTGTAGAGACGAGGTCTTGCCAAGTTGCCCGGGCTGGTCTCCAACCTGCAGGCTCAGGCAATCCACTTGCCTCGGCCTCCCGAAGTGCTGGGATTACAGGCTGAGCCACCAAGCCAGGCCAAATTTTGTGGATTTTTTTTTCTTTTTTTTTGTTGAGTTGGAGTCTCACTTCTTCATCCAGGCTGGAGTGCAGTGGCACACCAATGACCACCCCAGTGTCGACCTGCTGGGCTCCAGTGATCCTTCTGCCTCAGCCCTCCGAGTAGCTGGAACTATAGATGCATGCTACTATGCCTGGCTATTTTTTATTTTATTGTAGAGACGAGGGCTCGCCAAGTTGTCCGGGCTGGTCTCGAACCCGCAGGCTCAGGCAGTCCACTCTCCTAGGTCTCCCAAAGTGCTGGGATTGCAGGCTGAGCCACCGAGCCTGGCCTAATTTTTTTTTTTTTTTAAGGAATAGAATCCACACTGGTAAACTGATTTTAAAAAGTAGATTTTTGCAACTTTTAGAAAAGTTTCTATGTCAATTTGATTAGTATTATGTTTTTTAAACATAAAAAAATCTATTTTAAAAAATTTCATGTTGCTTTTGTGTGTGGTTTGTTTATTTTAGTATTGGTACAGGAATTTTTTGCTTTTTTCTTTAATATCTTTCTTTAAAACCTTGTTTCCACTTCTTAGGAAACATTTTGCAATGCTAATCATTTTGGTATTTTTGTCTTATAAAATACATTCCTCATAAATTCAGTAATTTTTAAAGATACTAGGATTTAGGAAAGTAACACCTAACCTTGCCCTCTTTTCTTCCCAATTTCTATTTTTGCTTCTCCCTTTAGTTTTATAAACTTGCTTCAGTTACCTACTTAATTTGTTCTGTAGTTTCCTTTTCTGTAAAATGGGAACAGTATCTAAATTCCTTGGTTGTGAGAGTAAATGAGATGGTATATATCATGTCTAGCTTTGTGGCTGGCACACAGAGTGACACTTAAATTCTGCTGTTGCAATTACTCTCATTTTCTGTACCGGAGGAGTTGTCAGGTAAGGATTTTTTTAATAGCAAGCTGGTAGAGTGGCCTTTGGAGTCCAGGGTTAGGTTTAAAACCCAGCTTTTTGCCACTTACCAGCTGGGACCTTAGGCAATGTCTCTCTAGACTATTTCTTCATCTATAAAATGAAGTTAATAGACTGTACCTTTCAGAGTTGATGAGGGGATTAATAGAGCTACCTCACGGCCTGAACTCCGTCAGGGAATGGTATGATAGCTCTGATGATTTTGATTTCTGAGGTGGTCACTAGAATGGTAGTGAGTGCATGCTCTCTCTTTCTCTCTTTATTTTTGTAAACTAGCTCAGTCTGTTCCCTTGAAGTGTGTAAATTTTAAGTTCATTTATAAAGAGTTCCACTAAGAGAGGAAATGTTACAGGTTCAACGACTTGTGATTACATGCTTTATCAGGAAACTTACTGCACATTCATTTTCCTCTTTGTTCGGTCTTTGCCGCAGCCTCACAGTTAGCCAAGTTGGCCAGAACTTCACATTCGTGCTCACTGACATTGACAGCAAACAGAGATTTGGGTTCTGCCGCTTATCTTCAGGAGCGAAGAGCTGCTTCTGTATCTTAAGGTAAGGGAGATGGCTTGGACTGTTGTCTTGTTCTGTGAAACAATGTCAGCTTCTGTGTTGTTCTCTGTAATTAAATTTTCCAGCTGTTCTTTTTATTTTCCTATCTCTTTTCCATAAGTCACTGCACTTGGGGAGAAGGACTTCATAATGTTGTTTTGCACTTTAAGTTCTGCAGATAATTGTATTTATTTATTTGTATGACATCCCTTGGGTGGGAAAGGACCATTGCTTCTGAGTAGTATGTGGAAGCCAGAGAGTCAGTGTTACTACAGTTTCTCCTGCTGTTATCTGGAGCTGTCAGAAATTAGCCTGTTAGGCTTTTGCTTGGACATTTTGTGTATGTAAGATTATTAATAAAGTATGTGCCTGTAGCTCAGGACATCTTGCAGACACAAATTGTGTCCTCCTCAAAGTAATACCCTTGCCCTCTTTGGGTCACTGAATAACTGTTTCCCAACTTGGCTACCTCTGTAGGGGTTTGAAAGAAGTACAGAATGCTGTAAGAAGGCTTCTTCAGGTCTAAAAGCCTCTTCATACACCAGAGTCACATTAGTTTAATGCTCTGTTTTCTTCTTCCAGAGGGGTAAGACGTGTTGTAGGGTGGGAGGATGTGTGGAAATCCGATTTTGGAGTTGCTGGTTCTGTGGGATCCTGCTGGGCGCCTCCTGAGGGGGAAGTAAAGGCATCCCACATGCTCTCCTCTCCATCTGCCTTGGTTAAGTAGGTGTCAGAGGGGCCTGCCTCCTGTCTCTCTCTGCTCGTGTGCAGCAGCCGGGGCAGGATAGCAGGGAGGTGCCCATGACAAAACCCGGGTCCCCAGGCTTGGGCCTGGGTCTGGGGATGGGGATAAAAGGCCAGACCCTCTATGGATTCCAGAAAGGGTATTTCTCTGTGTTACTACTTACTACTCTCTGCACTTTCTTCTTCTTCTCACCAATAAAAGACTGCCACTCCTGCCACTGTCCCCCCCAAACCATATACCCTCACATTATAGGAGAGGAGGGACTGACTTTTGAAGTACCCTTGCTCACTAGTTGTCAATCTGTACTGCTACACATTTGCATTTCTTTATATAAATCTTATTATCATTACTGTTTTTAGTCAGAGAGATTAACTTTCTTCTGAACCAAGCACAGTGTTTGTAATCTGGGCACTACTGTAGGAGAGGAGGCACAACCTGGCTGCTTTGGGAGATTACCTGTGTGCAGCTATTCCCAGGCATGCTTCAGTAGCCCAGGCCCAGGGATCACCTGCCCAGAGCATTAGACTTTGATGTAAATGATTATTCACTTTTTGATTCAACATTGCTACCTTTTTGTTTTTTCACTTTAAATAAAAAATTATCTTCCTTTGTTTTGTGTGTGTGTGTGTTTGAGTTGGAGTCTCATTCCATCACTCAGACTGGAGTGCAGTGGCATGCTCATGGTTACTCCGGCATCAACCGGCTGGACTCAGGCGATCCTTCTGCCTCAACTTTCCAAGTAGCTGGAACTACAGGCGCGTGCTTCCACACCTAGCTAATTTTTTGATTTACTGTAGAGATGAGGTCTTGTCAAGTTGCCCAGGCTGTTCTTGAACCCATGGGTTCAGGCAATCCACTCACCTCGGCCTCCCAAAGTGCTAGGATTACAGGCTTGAGCCACCATGCCCGGCAATCTCCCATTTTTGTCTGTTATATTTTGGCCCTGGCCAGGACACTGTATAATTATACAATTGACCCTTGAACAACATGGGATTAAGGGTACTGAACCTCTGCACAGTTGAAAACCCACATATAACTTTTGACTCTCCCAAAACTTACCTACTAATATATACCCTACTGTTATATATTATTAGCCTTACTAATAATATAAACAGTTGATTAACACATATTTTATATTATATTTATATTTATTACAATATTTATATTATATTCTTAAAGTAAGCTAGAGAAAATAACACTTTATTAAGAAAATAACAAGGAGGAGAAAATATTTATTTACTACTCATTAAGTGGAAGTAGATAATCACAAAGGTTTTTATCCTTGTCATTTACATGGCGAGTAGACTAAGGAGAAGGAAGAAGAAGAGGGCTTAGTCTTGCTATCTCAGGAGTAGAAAAGGTAGACGGGGAGGCAGGAGAGGCAAGGCACACTTGTAACTTTTACTGAAAAAAATGTCTGCATATAAGTAGAGTCATGGAGTTCAGACTGTGTTGTTTAAGGATCAACTCTGTGTGTGTTCATTTGAAGGTGGTGGAACTTAAATTGAATTCTTAAATTTTTACAAAATGACTTTTTCCCATAGTCTTTTGGGGTTGCAGCATTTCTATGTGGACTCTAAACTGGCACTGTCATCCTCATCCAACAAATTTCTGAGAATAAAAACTGTTTATTAAAAAAATTAAATTTAAAATTGCTTGCCTCTGATTCCATTGTGTGACTTTGTTTGCCTATACAGGTAGGGTCATGGATTTTGTATTTGTGAGAAGCCAGCTGAATAACCTTCATGCCATCATCAATTAGAATGAAAAATAGCAGTAATTGGTGTTTTCTATCTGTTGTACTAGTTTAGAACTATGGAGAAAAATTCGGTGGGTTAATTCATTCATTTGTTTGTCAGCCCTTAATTGAATGCCTACTATTAGCTAGTCTCTGCCCTTGAGGAATTACCAGCCTAGCTGCGGAAATGGATGATATACAGTATGCTATATATAATACATAGAATGGTGCCAAGCCATCATGTCTTCTTACTATTGATTTCCTAGTGCCAGAGGACAGTGACTCTATGTTTAAAAATAAAGAACCCTGTATGAATTCTGGAACATGCATCTTATGGGTATTTAACTTGAGGGGAGAAAAGCTTTCTTTACCTTATCTAGCTTATACATATTTAAAGGGTACACACAGTGGCACTTTCCCTGTGTTTGGTTTGGGTACATCACTAGGTTGAGACTAGCATATAAATGGAAGGGTCTACTGTTAAACCTGGATGATTTGGTGGTGGTGTGTCCAATGAAGAGATCTGCTAAGAGAATGAGGGCTCAGTTTGGGTCTGGGTTAGATTGTTAGCATTGTCCTCTTTTGCTGCTTAGTCTCTGCTTTCTTCAGATTCTTTCCCTTAGTTAACCTGTGTCCAGGGGTATAGCTCAAGTCTACTCCTAAGCCAGCTCTGCTTTTGCTTTCCGTTTTCTCTCTTGAGGGATATGGCTCTCAATAATGACATCTGTGCAGACAAAGCTTCTGCTCCTCCAGGATTTAGCTTCATTCCTCTCTGCCTGATCTCTCAAGCTTATACACTTCTTGGCCCATATGAACCACTATATGATTGCTGTCTTCACATACTTACTCAACCTCCCAGATTCAGCATAGGCACCTCCTAAGAGTAGTCCTTCCCTAGGCAGAGGAAATCATTCCCTCCTCAGGGAACACCCAGCTTGCTTTGCATACTTCAGTTACACACTCATAAGTCTTGATCTAACTTTGTCTTTCTCCTGTTGGAAAGGTCAACTCTTTAGGACTGTATCTTAATCAACTATGTATCTCCAGCACTTGTAGTGATATTGTGTGTATGGTGTTCAGAGAAAGGGACTTGCATCAAGAATGAAAGGGCAGAGCACTCAAGGCTTTGAATTAGAGGATGCGTCTCATGGGATATTAGTTCAAAAAGGAAATATGAAATAATGGTTATTGGCAGAAGCATGATTCATATTACCAAGCTCATTTCATACTAGTTGTAAGAGAGGCACTTTTGAATCTCACAGTGGAGGTCCAATATTGAATGGCAATTATTTCATCCAAAAAGGATTAGGTTGTCCATATGATAAAATTTGAACTTAATTTCATAATGAAATGTTCTTTGACATACTTTATGCAATATAATTTATTTATTAGGTTCATTTTAATGTTCTGTCCCTCCCCACTAAGAGGTAGGCTCCATGAAAGCTGTGACTTTTTATGTGCCCCCCCCAAATGAACCCAAAGTTTATCAAAGAATATCTGACACATAGTAGGCATTTAGTAATACTTGTTTTATAAAGGAATGAATTTCTGGGAGATAAGCCCATGCTTAGGAAAAACATTTTTTTATGTTGGTTTGAATTCTTGTAACCAGCTAACCTTGACAGAAATGTGATCATACGAGAATATAAACAAGTCCAGTTAAAACAAATACCACTACAAAGTCAAATGCATTATTTCCTCCCATAGTTGACTAGTTTTGCCAGTAAAAGATTTTATTTCTCTTCGAGATTCACCACATTGTTTAACTAGTTGCTGGTTGGTAGTTAATACTAAATTAAAAATACCAGCTAGTAGAATAGTAGTTATGGGTAAGTTAGTTGTTTTTCATCATAAACCCGAAAATGTAAGAGTATCTTAGCATTTTTAGATTGCACCATCTGAGTCTGTGGCATATACATTTACCTCTGAAATTTTTCAGTATTATAAACAGAGTGACCTAGAATTGATACGCTTTCATGGCTTTTGATTTGCCCAAATGGCACATGTTCCATCAAGGCCAAAACCATAATGAAATATGCTATTTCTAAACAACTTCTTGTTTTGGGTCAATAGAAAGAACATGAGAGTTCAAAGCTATAAATTTGTTGTTTGGGGGTTCTGGGAGATATGTCTCACAATCATTATATTAATCTTTATAAAGGAGCATTACAACCAGGCTCGGTGGCTCAGCCTGTAATCCCAGCACTTTGGGAGGCCGAGGTGAGTGGATTGCCTGAGCCCGCGAGTTTGAGACCAGTTCAGGCAACTTGGTGAGACCTCTTCTCTCTAATAAATAAAAAATTAGCTGGGTGTGGTAGCATGTGCCTATAGTTCTGGCTACTTGGAAGGCTGAGGTAAAAGGATCGCCGGAGTCCAGCAGGTTGACACTGGGGTGGCCATGAGTGTGCCACTGCACTCCAGCCTGGGTGACAGAGTGAGACTCCAACTCAAAAAAAAAAAAAATAGGAACATTACAGGTATTTTATTTGTATGCTACAATTTCCCCCTTTATCGATAGGG